CGGACGAAAGCTTAGCAGGTTTTCACCGGAATCGCAGAGGATTAACTCGGAAACAGCGCCAACAAGAGTGGTTCAGTAAAGCCAGTCGACAGCTGGTCAAGAGGAATCGGCCGTCGTCTTCTGGTTGAACCGACCTTTGAATCTCTTCATGCAACACTTTCAGTCGAAATGGAAGTAAGCTCAACAATTGTGAAACAAGAGATACGTCGAAACCCAACTTTTCTTCGCATGAATATCTGTTTTGTTGTTATAGAAAATATAAGTTTGCTTCGTCGACAATCAAAACACAGGATGTGATATGAGAAAATGCCCGGCCCTATGACCCAGAGGCACTTGTGGCAATGGGGCATAGCTCTTAACGTGTCGAGGTTATACGCTGCAATATCAAGACCCGAGTACGAGTCCCGCTGTTGATGTGGTGATGAAAATATTAAAATACTCTTATCTCGAGAGATTCTTCACAACCCGTATTTTATTCGTACACGAGAGAATGCTCTGGACTCAGCTTATCCACCACATTTGTTGTTGGCTCTAGCTCCTTTCCCTTTCAGCTTCTGAATCCATCCGACATTGCTGCTGAATTGGTGTCGGCTTTCTGGTGCTGAGCTGATTCTTGTTGTTTTTTTTTTAGTAGGAATCGGAAATCTTGAATAGAAGCGTATAATTTGTACTCCCAGGCGTGGTCAAACCAGCAGTCCAGTTGGAGAAAGCTTTTTGGGTGACAAAGTTAAGTGAAGTTTAATTATACCGCGATGAAAACTCTACCAAAAAACGTAAGCAACGTAGACTGGCCAAGTTCTTATCAAAGAATTAGTTTTTAGACATACTCACACCCACTATTAATATATTTTCACTATTATTCTTAAATAATCTTAGTCTTGTGGAATGTTTTCTCCCTAGGGGAGCCTGGATTTGAATTTTATCTAAATGCTGTGAGTATACCTTACGTTGACATTTAATTTCACATAGCCTCGCCTTCCCAAAAGTTATTATCATTTAAGCAAGACTATGCGAAATTCCATGCAAATCTAAGGTCCTCTTATCACCTAAAATAGCATAGGTTGAATAGACCTCATATAAATATATATATATATTAACCACAAGTAGTCTCGAAAAACTGTTTATAAAGCAAAAAAATGTAATTTTCCCTTAATTTCTGCAGATATGGACCTAAGGCATTTTTAAATTTTTTAAATTTTTTCCTTACCTCTGCAATAGAACGTTGCCACACTTCCGAATGCTTTGCTGATTACTCGATGCCAAATTAGGTCCTTGACCTACTAGTTTCACACCTCTGATCGGTTGTGTGAAGCATTTGTTTAGTTAAGGGGAAATTTCGACAGCCCCATCTCTAGCATCTGAATAATATTTGAAACTGTCTTCCAGCTTAGTTCAAATAGTCTCGTTGTTCTTTTTGTACTCTTTCAATAGGATGCTGTTAGGACGGACGGGGACTGGATTTCGCGCAAGCCAATAGGCCTCCAGAGACCGATGAGCAACCTTTTTGAGAATAGGTAGGTTGCAATCTTTCTTTTACCTATTTTTTATATATTTTTTTTCCATAAACATTTCTAAAATCAGCAAATTTGCAATTGCTCTTGACCAGTTGTCAATTGGTTTTACTGAAAAATTCTCGTTGACGCTGTTATCGCGGCAGTCTCCTTCGATTCCGGTGAAAATGTGCTAAGCTTTCGTCTGTCGTATTGAGAAATAAGCCTAGGTATCACGTCCTTAACTCACATTGAGCGAAAATTAGTGATAGCCTTGATCATTCAAATGGACAATACTTAACAACAGTTTTACAGATCATTGGCTTTTGTGAATTCTCTTCTGGTTCTAAACATTTGGAAGGCATCCCACCGTAGCTCATCAAAATAACTTGATCAACCAAAGAAGCGTCGCATGAACAGGTCCTTAATACAGTTAATTTTAGTCTTGAAGACCTAGTGTAAACTGGAGAATAGGAGTTTAGCAAACATTCATTCTTACTTGATCAGTACATGATTAGCTAAATCTAAAATTATTCTCTTTTAAATGTCAGGAAATTTGAGTCGGTCACAGTGCCAGTTATGCCTGATTCAATTGTACCTCCTAGAAACTGCATACATTCGGCTCAATCCAATTTCATTTCCGACAAGTTAGTATATTGAATTTGGCTGCAAATGCTCTAAATTTCATTCATTCTGAGATAAATTGGTTTTAGGCAAACTAACTGTCATTTCGGGCGTTTATGCTATACTTTGACATTGAGAAAAGCTCATAATATTTGTCGATTTTGGTGTATGTTATCAAGAGATTGGCTCTTCGATCTGGAAGCTGTCAAATCCCATTAATATTTTTCCTGCCTCATCAACGAACAATTTTATAGGCCTTTTTGCCTGAAAAATTCCATTATCCTCTATTCTTAGCTCAGTTAATTTGCACACATTTGTTACATTTTAATTGTTTGTACCCTTGCAAGGTGAACAAATTTTATATCTTCATCTTGCATATAATGATCCTCTTAAATAATACGACGTTCAAGATAAACTTATTCATTCGTTTATCTTCTCTAATTGCCTTTTCTTTTCAAGCCAATTCTCATTCCATCTAGGCACGAGTGATGGGAATGAGGCTTTGGTTGATCGGCTTGGCGACTGCGGTGAATGTAATTCACTTACATTCCAGGCTTCAGGTCTCGACTCCAACGGCAGTCAGCCTTCCCGAGGATCAGCCGTTTCAGTTTCGAGAAAATCAGCATTCAAGTCGCAACCTGCCGAGCAAAACATTTCAGAGGCGGTGGATCGGAGGTACTTCAAAGCAAATGATTCAATCGAAAATAATGAAAAAGAAGATGTTAAACTGAAGCATACATCGCTCACGCGATCCGACCAGGAAAACGGTTTTAGACCTCGACGAGCGCTCTTTCTTGACATGGAGCCGGCTATCAGCGGGCTTGAGATGCTTCTGAATGGGCTGAAGAGAAGTGTCAGCTTATACCGCTTCAATAGTTCATTTCTACTATTCCCCAAGTCCTTGGTGCGTGAGTCCAAACCATCACCGGCCACCACACCTCCCATACCCTCTTGGGTAGATCCGATCACTTCTGAACGGGTTTGGATCTCAGCAGACGGCATTTCTACCAATTCTATTGTTGCCGGCTTGAATCTTGCATCGCCAAACTTCTGTTCCTCCTCCTCCTCCAGCCTTCATCAAACTCCCAACGGTGTAGCCTCAGGCCTTGCCAGTCCTGTTGTCACGCCAGAGACCGGCAGCCGGAATCCGTCGATCAACTTACACTTGCCTGGAAAGAGGATGTTTTGTGCCAGTTCTGGCGCCAAAATGCCTCTTGGCGCAACGAGTGGACTCTGCGGGCTTAGGCCAGCTCCTGTCACGGCACGGGTGCCGCGGATTGCAAGAGCCTTGGCGGCAAGAGTCACACATCGTCAGGCCTTGGAGACGGAATGTTTCTCCAGACGAGAGTAATCATTCTTTGTATTCTAGTTTAACCAACTATCTCTTACTACTAACTACTTGTGTACCTTCGATGAATCTCTCCGGAGATGTCATTGTTGGCGAGACTTTCATTTCATTTGAAGGTGCATGAAGAAGAGATTGCTAGGTCGATCTCGTTGTGCTGCAACGGTTTGGCGGCAATACCACCTTCACGGTGACGCAGTACACGAGACATGCTACCTCGTTTCGGATGAAATCTATGATTTAGGACGTTAGCACATACACACATTCACAAACACGGGCGATTAAAAGTTGCTTAATTGTTGCGGTGAAGAGATTCGAAGGTCGGTTCCACCAGAAGACGACGTCGGATTCCTCTTGACCAGCTGTCGATTGGCTTTACTGGAACATTCATATCATCAGAGCAAGGTATCATCGTTTTCTTGAATCGTTAGCTTGAATTTTGTTGTGACGATGTTGCCTCGCTCTGATGATGTCCGTCATGGGACGCACGAAAGCTTAGCACCTTTTCACCGGAATCGAATGAGATCGACTCGGAAACAGCGTCAGCATGAATCTTCCAGTAAAGCCAAGCGACAGCTGGTCAAGAGGAATCGGCCGTCGTCTTCTGGGGGAACCGAGCTTCGAATCTCTTCACGCAACACTTTCCCTCGAAATGAAAGTAAGCTGAAAAAGACAAGAATTACTCAAATAATTATAAACGTGATTTTCAGACACCCGATAAACAGAGGTTCGCATGCGATTGGCTTTACTGGAACATTCATGCTGACGCTGTTGCCGAGGCAATCTCCTTTGATTCCGGTGCAAAGGTGCTCAGCTTTCGTGCGTCATGTGATGAACATCATCAGAGCAAGGTATCATCGTCACAACAAAATTCAAGCTAGCGAGTCAGGAAAACTCACCGGCAAATCCCTAAAAAGTGGGAGTTTTCTTGACTCGTTAGCTTCAATTTTGTTGTGAAGATGTTACCTCGCTCTGATGATGTCCGTCATGTGACGCACGAAAGCTTAGCACCCTTTCACCGGAATCGAAGGAGATTGCCTCGGAAACAGCGTCAACATGAATGCTCCACTAAAGCCGATTGACAGCTGGTCAACAGGAAGCGACCTTCGAATCTCTTCACTAACAAACACTTTCACTCGAAATGGAAGTAAGTTCAACAATTATGAAACAAGAGATTCCTCGAAACCTAACTT